TGGCCCCAAGAGACTGAGAATATATAATAATGTAAATCTTACATCAAAATTGATTTCTTTTGTCTTTGCATAAAGGATTGTTACAGGCAAGAGCCAAGAAGCAAAGTATTATTTCTTTTGAAGAATGCCTGTAAATTATGATACATGTCCCACTTAATCCATAGCTAGCATTAACAATAATATTTCTTACACTCTCAAAAATGTACACAGTTAAAAATTGTGGAGCATCTATTTTATACTTTTTTGAAAGCATCTTAGTCTGTTATAACCGGAAAAATTGAAATAGCTAAATCCACGATCTTAGTTAATCTGCCATTTAGGAATTCTTCAATTTAATCAATGGCATTCATTGGACTCTACCAATCCATTCAACAGAGTAAGCCCAGGGTCATAATTAAAGATGCCTGAGTTAAGAGTAAATCCTGTTCAATCTTGAAATGGAAAAGCCTCTCTTGATTTAGAGGCCTTGGGAGTTTATATGGGGCTTTAATTGATCAGCTAAGGAGAAAATGAATCTTGTGCTTTGATAGAATGCCTGCCTTTTTTCTTTTTTCTTTTCCCAGTTCAAATACAATTCTGTCTGTACTGTATTGTGCTTCTGGGATAAATTGTCTGGCATTTATTGGTTTGGCCAGAATGACAACTTGGGATGTTTGGTTGAGTGCTGAACAAGGTTGTTTGTAGTCCAGCTTCTGGGATGTCAGAAAAATTCAATCTATTGACAGGAATTAAAATCTTATTCAGTGGATGGTTGACTATTTTTGAACACGCAAGGTAATAAACTAAGCAAGGGAGAAAGCAATACTGAGATGTCTTTAGAACTGGATCTCTTCCTACTTTCTCTTAAAATAGGCTGCCAAAACTCAGTTCCAAATCACTTTCTGACAAAAAAATACGGAACTCACATTGTGTTGAACACAAAGTTTAAAAGTAATAAAACCTTCTCTTTAACCTAGAAATTTAACTTCAGTTATTGTTTCCTGAGGTTTCTTAAACACCTTCTTAATTTAATGTAAAAGCAGTGTCATTAACTTAATAGAATTTCTGATACCATCAGACAGGATATAGACCCCTGCAGAACTGTTGTTCTATTCACTGAAACTACCAGTGTTGATTAGAAAATAAAGCTGAACAAAGCTGGTAGACAAATTCAATTACTGAAACTAATTATGGCAATATTTCTACTTTTAAAAAATCTTTAGCCACAATTATAGTCCCCCATGATAGCAAACAGCATTATATAGTAATCACTTACTACATCTTAGCTGGCTGGAGAACTCATTTAGGTAGAGAGAATAAAAATCAAGCCAACTAGCAAGCAAGGAAACAAAAACAATTCAACGTCAAATATTCATTCAATCACATTAAATATGAAAATTTTCAATCAGCCAGTTAACAATGAAATACTGTTTTGACATAAAATTGATCAATGGGTTTATCTTCAGATTCAAAGCAGATATAAACAAGACAAAAAAGAATTCGGAATTAATAACAAACTGCAACAGTTAGATAAAATTTTATTAGGATCAAATAAAAAAAACATAACAAAATTTTATAACTACTTATTAGAAACAGAACTAGAAGAAGAAATCGTAAAAGGAAATATGATTGCTTGGAGTAAGAACGTAGGGCGCAGCATCACATTAGCGGAATGGGAGAAAGTTTGGGGCAGAAACAATAAGATTACCAAATCGGCAGCATACAAGGAAAATCTTTATAAAATGTTTTATAGATGGCATCTCCCCCCTTCGAGGTTAGCGAAGATGCACCCCAACATGAGTCCGCATTGCTGGAAGTGTAGGAAAAAAGAAGGAACCTTTTTCCATATGTGGTGGTCCTGTGCAGAAACCCAAAAGTATTGGAAGAAAATCAAAACTTGGTTGGAAGAAATCACCAAAGAGCAGATCGAATACAAACCAGAGTCCTTCCTACTAGGGATTTTTGATAAGCAAATTTCCAAAAAAACCAAATACATAACAATACACATTTTAACAGCGGCCAGATTAGCCTTCGCTCAACATTGGAAACAACACCAAATTCCATCAGAAGAAATGATTATTGAAAAAATCTCAAAATGCGCAGAAATGGATAAATTGACTTTGGCGTTAAAAAACAAAGACACTTCACTATACTATGACAGCTGGAATTGTTGGTATAATTGGATTGACCAAAGATAAATAATATATTATAAGGCATAAAAGAAAAGTATCAATACATAACAACGAGGTAGCGATATAAGTTAAAAACAGGTGTGGTTATATGACACAAGTTAAGGTGATGAAAACAAAAGAAGATCTTGCAAACTGTTAAAATAAGAATACTTTTAATCCTGTAACCTCTTTCTTTCTTTCTTTTCTTAAAATTCTTTCCCTCTCTTCCTCTTCTCTTTTCTTTCTTTTCTTTCCTTCTTTCTTTTGCTTATTTGTGTATGTATTGTGACTGGTTTTAATTGTAAAAATTAATAAACTATATTTAAAAAAACAACAACAATGAAATACTGTTTTATACTGCCTACCATCAGCAAGTACCATTAAAGCCGACAATTCAAAGCCATTGGTTTAAACTAGTTGTTTAAACTGATATGCTGTCCCAATCCAAAAGGACTCTGGCCTACTTATATTCCCCTCTTACACTAATAAGGTTAAAAAATCAAAATGAACAGCATGACCAAATACAAAAACATTGTCACTCAGGAACAATCAAGCATCCAAAAAGAAGCCCTCAAAGGACCTCATTAGTCACAGCCATTCCATTCCCAAGCCAAAGCTCTCTTCAAAATCATGCTTTAACAGTTATCCTAAGGCCAAACAAGAAGATAAAGGGAAGATTGAGATGGTTGATCTCTGGCCTCCAAAGATGACAATCCCTGATGAAAGAGACTTTGAGTCCTCTGCCCTCAAATTGTTGCATCTGCTCCAAGAGAAATCCAAGTCTAATATTTTAACTTCTAGCAGCGGGAGCCACAACGATGTGAAAAATGTCCAGGGTTGACAGGGTGGCCATGAACTACACATCCACTCCCAGAGATGGCACATAGAAACATGTAAGGTATGGGAAGCTTCAATACCATCCTGGTGATGAAAGAGGGATGCTATCATGCAACAAAGGTATGTACCAAACTTCAAGAATAATGCCTCACATTCAATGCCTCAGGTTATGTACCTTATGTACTTCTGGTCACTTGTAGAGCCTCGCAAATGAGAACTGTCATGCTGCCTCCCTGGGCTTGAACTCGCAGCTAGAATCTTATCCAAAACTCAGAAGGGCACATTGTAAAAAGGGGACACTCCCCTATTTCTCAATCGGGTTTGCTAATGTGCCCTCTAATCACAATTAGGTAATGGATGAAGACAGATACATAATGGGCAGACCCGGCATTAAGCAGCTGCAGTAGCAGCGCGATCCTACCTATTCCATTACCGGTTTTGTGGTTGCACGTGTATGCACACCTAACACGCGCGCACAGCTTTCCACACACCAGCAGAAGCCTGCAGCACCAATCAGCTGAGAGGATTAAGAAGAGGGGCAGGCGGGAGAGCTGATCCTGTGCCTTTCTCTTCTTTCTCCTCTCAGCTGATTGTCTGCTTTGTTCCATCCTCTCAGCTGATCATTGGAGGCTTTTTTTTTTACTACTTGTTCAGCTGAACCGGGCCGAACCGGTAGCATACCACCATTGAGCTGCAGCTGCTGTAAACGGCCTCTAAGAACCGGATAACCTGGGTCTTGAGCTGAGGTAAGCAGACAGAGATGGGAATTGTGGAAGCAGGCATAGTGAAATAAAACCCATATCTCTTGAGAGTAATTCCATAAGTGTTCTACTTGGTATTTGATAAAATTCTATCAAACATGATGACAGTAGTAATCTACATTATCACTGTCATCATCACATGTCCAGAACACACATTGCTAACTAGTACAAAGTATGCATAGATACTATTAGCTTGTTATATAGACATAACTAATACTCAAGTGGTGTTCTGACCCAGCCCCCAAATCAACAGTCCACACATGAGGAAAAATCCCTTTTTATTTAGAAAGGCAGGAATTCATGGCATTCACTGACAAAGCTCCAGGTCACACCTCCTGGAGAGGTGTGTGACCTCAAGCCAGGTCTGTGAGTTCCCTGCAGGGAGTCTCAATTAGCATTTCAATTCCAACACAAAGAGTCCTGACCAGCCTGGTTAGTGGCAAGGAAATCCTGGGAAGGAATCCACTGGAGGGAACTCTTCTGGAGCATGAATGGATGTCTCAACACCCACGCCTCCCACACCCCTCCTCCTTATATCTCTAGCCCCGGGAAGGGACTTGTTAACATCACCTTCTTTTCCTGAATAGCTGGCCCTCGGTCCTGCATTGCTTTCCTCTCTGCACCTCTCTGTGCATACGCACTTCTGGGCCCAGCAATTCCTTCCCCTTGCTCATCTCAGGCCCCAAAACAGCTGTCCCTTGGCCTGAGCTTGAATAGGTGGGCCCTGCTCTGCATCTGGCTTTGAGACCTCCTGTTCCTCAGAGCCTTCTGCTGTCTCTGATGGTAACCCAGGCACTCCCTTCAGGCTCCCCCTCTATCTCCTCTGACTCATCTGACTTGACTGCTGACAGTCAACGAACCACAACAAGTGGCTACATTTCATGTAAACTAAATGTTTCAGGAGTAACATCAGCTGCAGCACTTGTATAGTGGCCCAGGCTGGTTATAACTTTCTGTAAATGGGTTCAGTCTCAGAACTTTCCAAACCAAAGATAACAAGAGGTCTTCTTGGTTACTGCTTGCAACCCTTTGTTTCCACAGATAGCAATGAGTCTAGATAGATATTTTTTGGAGGAGTGCAACTCTACTCCATTTCTTTTATTTAGATGGATAGATACCTCCAACCAAAGCATTCCTGTCTTGTGTAATTACATGACCTCTCAAGGAAGGACCTCTGAAAATCAATGATGCTTTTAAAAATTCCATGCATTTTATTCTAATATAATTACTGCAAGAACAGATACCAACTTACTTAATGTAGTATGGAACACTGTTATGAGACACCGATCTCTGCCATGGTAGTTGTACAGAGGCTATAAAAATAATAAAAAATTGGAAGTAAATGAATCAAGAAATCAATAATTTTATAATTTACAACAGGCATACTTGTATAAAGATGCTGAATATAGAAATAAGAAGAAATATTTCAGACTCTGTAAGTAAACACTCCTGAACAATTTTTTAAGCATTTATCCTCAAAATCAACAGTACTCATTTCAAATGACCAATTTAAAACAATTGATGATGAAAAACCACTTATTTGGAAGATAACTTGGTCCAATCCAGTCCACTTAATAAACAGGCCCAGTGATCGCCTACCCTTTGACTTGGGAGTTTTCCTTTTCCTTTTTTGATTCTTTGCTTGCAAATTTGTGAGTGCATATATTGATTCAACTTTTAAAATACATCTTTCTAAATATTTTTCAGTTAGTATTTATTTTTTGAACCCCCCCCCCCCCCAAGTTCCCATAGTTGTTTCAGTTACTTGAGAACAAAACCATTCACATTTTGTAAAACTGTTAAAAAGTCATCTTAGGGTAATAAGATGAACTCCCTCTTTCATTGTGCCTTTTAATCAAAATTTAGTATTATGTTCAAAATCATATACTAACTCTGTATCCTCTTTTGTTTCCTATCCAGCGCTTGTAAACCTGCTCCTGACATTACCTAAGTACAATTTAATTGTAATTCTAAATTGTCATTCTCTGTGAATTGTCTTTCTGAAGATTTCTCTGAAAGCATCTTCCTTACGTGACAATCATTTTGTTCTATATTTTCTTCAATGCTACTTATTAGAACTTGAGCATATTTGGGATGAAAAGAAAATTAAGAACCTTTGAAGTACTTCATTGGTATACTATTAGAGTCTTCATTAACCCATTTCATTAACACTTACTGGAAAGAAAATCTTGAGATTCAGGTTCATAATCATGGTGTATTTCTTGTAGTAGTTTAATACGATCATCTACCGATATCTGCACGTAAAAATACAAACAAGAAAAAGCAAGTAGTAAGCTTTTAACTGATCATACCAAACCAACTGCATATAGCCAATAAGACAAATGATGGTTTAAAATTCGTTTGTGCAAATAGATTTAAAGAGAAAATATTCTGTCATCTTAAATCTGCTTCCCCGTTTATAATGTTTAAATAGAAGCTAGTAATGATTCTTCTGTAAGCAATGCAAATCAATATTAAATAAAGGCCTTCTTAGCGCTTAATACTGTCTACTGAGATGTTCACTTTTTCCCTTGTCTAAATGTCTGCCTTATTTTGATTTTATTGATCTTTACAAGAAACCATACTGGAACATGCTGCTTACTGATTGACCTTACGGGTCAACATTCTCCTGGTTTGCTAATTAAACTGGATGAATATATACAAAACGTCTCAGTCAAATCTTTGTAAGGCATGACAAGTGTTTCTAGTGCTTCAAATTAGATTGATATGGAAGAAAAAATGCGTTTTAGAACAACCTCAGAACAGGGGTTAATCATAATTCTTTGCAAACAGCTCTATCAGTTCTTTTCTTACTAAAGAGCTCCTGTGAGCTCAAATAAAACCCAAAATAGTCTTCCGAGATGGCTTTAAAGTCTAGTTTAATGAAATTTTAGCATAGCAGTAACACAATATTTCAGAAACAGTATGGTGTAATGCTCAAGATGCTGGAGTGACACTAGAAGCTCAGGTTTAAGTTCATCCTTAGCCTTAGCAGCTTACTGGGTGTCTTTGGGTCATTGACTTTCTTTCAGCCCAACCACAGGAGGTGGTGGTTGTTGTGGGGAAAATGGAGATGGAAGTGCCCTGAGAAGAAGGAAAGGTAGGATCTAAATTTAACAAATAAACAATGCAAAAGAAAAGACAAGCCTCAAGCATGATCTGCATTTTGAATAATGCCTCTGGGTCCCACATTGTTTAGCTACATTATTTATACCTAAAAGGTTGGAGACTCCCATATTAAAGAATGTGGTTCTTTAATATGGTAGTTCAGCCTATGAAATCAATTCTACAAGGAGGCTAAAACTACTTTTATTGAGATAGGCTATAATAGCAGATTGGAAAAGTCTGATTTTGGTGTATCTCCTCCTTTTTTATAGTTCAGTGAATGAAAAAAAATATCTGTCTAAGCTTCTTCTAAGCACTGTCTGGACATTCTGGACTTAGTATTTCGTCCTTATGGCCTTGACAACAGAATCTGTGTATTTCCATCAAACTAATATTCCTTACTGTCTACACAAATAATATGTTGAATCATTTTGATATTCAATGAAGATTCAATTAGCAGACATAATCTGAGAAAATTATCTTGTATTTACATCATTTTATGACATTTGTGTAATGACATGATTGTGGTAAGGCTGTAATTTATGGTCGTGTATCAATACTATTGCCAGAGGATTTTCTCCCTGATGTCAGGGATAATATGGAATCAGTGACAGATTCATGGTTCTCTCTAACTTTAAGCTATGCTAACTGAGGAATTCTGGGAGTTGAAGTCCACAAGTCTTAACGTTGCCAAGTTTGGAGACATCTGTCTTAGTCAATGAAAGCTACCTGTAGAAGTTTCCACCGCATGTTCAAATCATCTAGCTGTCGTGAAACTTTCAAGGATGGATGAAGATCAAGTGGAGAGAGTTGACTGGATAAGTCATTGATGCATTTGATTTTCAAGCTGATTGGTGAAATTTCTTCTCTAAAGGCCTAGAAGAGGGAATACACAACTGCTTTTAGTAAAAATCTTGAAGAGCAAAAGTATAATCTCTAAATGATATGTGTAAGTGTCCTTCATTTTCCTTCTTTCGCTATCTCTCCTGACTTTCCTTAAATATATTACATGTTACGGTGAATATTAAAAAGCAGTGAATCTACTAGTAATGTATTATATTGCCAAGGTTTACCAGGAAACAAAAAGCCACTAAATAAATAGAAATGAAAAAGAAAAGCAAAGATACTTAATAATTCAATAACAAATGTTAGAACTTCTTAATTTGGGTTTCATTATTTTTATATTGCATCCATAAAACATAAAAAGGAAATCTGCTGAAAGCCAAATAATTCTATGAAATTGATAACAATTTTCTAACTTCACACTGTTTTCCCCAAGAATTACTACTACATCATTTTTGATATCAATGTTGATGTTGTTAATAGATGAAATAATCCTCAACAGATGATACTATTGGAACAAATAGAAAACATAATAAGTTTCCCTTTGCAGCTCTTTATGCAAATACCATTAAGATGTGAACAATTACCTCTTGCTGGCAGAAAAAAGATATTCCCACTAGTATGCAAAAGCATTCTTTTATGTTTTTATTCAAACAAGAAAAAAAAGGAAAGACAGATATTTTATGCTTAAATCAACATATTTAAATCTGCTTTGATTTACTTCTAAGGCAACAGAAATTGTGTTTCATTGAATTTAGCTTACTCTTTATTTGAAAGCAAGAACAAACCTCAGGCAGAGTGTTCTGTATTTATGTATAATGTTCCATTACTCATAAATAGTCTAATTTGTTATTTTCTAGGCAATCCATGGACATACAGGCAAAAGGCTTCTCAGTCCAATGCTAAAATGCTAACTGACTTCAGAATGACATAAAGTCTTAGGGGCTCTACTATTAGTTGTTATAATCTGGAATTCCTAGACTTGTAGCAGAATGGCTTATAGTAGAAAGTCCCGAGAATTCAAAGGCATTTAAAGCGGGTAGGTTCATTTGGTTTCAGCTTATAACTGCACAACCTTTCTCCCAAAACACAGAGTGGTAAATATATTTTAAGAGAAATTTCAGCCATCCAATTAAAACAATGCAATCTTAGAACAGGGCTAAATAATTAAAATATCACCTCACTGCATAATTAAAATATCCCTTCACAAATAACACATCTGTAGTATCCTCATCTATATGGTGGACAGGTGGAGGTGGCAAGAGACTGCTCTCTGCAGTCCAGTTTGACAATGGCATTTAATTAATTAACCCTTAAGGTTAGGGTGCCTAATATTCAGGGCACAGAAAGAGAATTTCTGAATTCCTTGGATTTTCTCTATCTCCCTCTAGCTATGTTGCTCTCATTATATACATTACTGCAAACTTATGCCTTCTGCTGTCATTTTATTGCTATCTAAATAAAATAATGTTAATGAAATGTTACACATTTCCAATGGAAAAGCATGAAGTAGGAATAATACTATTTCACTGGTTTTTTTATTCTGGATCCAGCTGGACACTGGATTATGACTACCTGAGTACCACTGTACAGTTTCTATAGCCAAAATCTAAACATCATCTGGCAATGGAGTTAAACAACTCCTGGGATCTTACAGTTGTCTTATCAACTTCATCCTGCAATGAGGCCATCAGCCTGTCTCCAACAGGTTTCCAACCATTTCGCACATTCTCTGCCTCTCTCAAGTCTGCATCCAGGTCATCCATGGAACACTGCAGGTCCTTCAGTTTCTCTAGGGCTTGATCTATCTGTTTTTGCCAACCACTGGCACAGGTATTTAGGCTTTCCCACTTCTCCTTCACTTCCGCAGACTGTTTGCGCATAGCTTTAGCAATCTTCTGTGCTTTTTCTTCAGGGGTCAACTCTGAAAACAGGGGGAAAAAATGCTCAATGGAATGAACAGGGATTCATAGCGTGTGGACAAGAAATATTGTTGCTTTCAAAATACACTTGCTGCCAAGAATGACTAACTATGGACTTCCATGCCCATTTCTCTCCTTGCAGTAAGTGATGTGTTTTGAGGTGATCCTCAAAGCAAAGCCAAATTAATAGGGAAAGAGATTGAAACAAACAAAGTTCAAATGGAGGCAAACGCTGAATTTTATTCCTAACAATGTGCCAACAAAAACTGCGTTGTAAAAAGGGAAAGGCTAACTTTGGAGAACTTGATAAATAATTGCAACATTATTGTAATGTTATTGTAATGCTGACAACAAGTGACTCCCGATTAATAAAATACTATTTTTATACCATCAATGTGAAAATAGCTTTCAGGGCAAGAATATAATTAACTTACAAGATCTATTGAATAAGATACAAATACTACCTAGGATATTAACTTTTAAGAGCCTTTGGTAAAAAAACAGTTTTAAAAGGTTGATCTGTGGATGATTAATACTATGAATAGGAGGAAAAGCATCCTAGAATATAACAATTGTAGAGATGTTATCTAGGATCAAGTTTAGAAAAAAACATTGCAGACCTCTTAATATTGGCTATAAAAAGACAAGCAAACAGTAGAAAAGCATAATTTGTTTAAGACTTCGGCTTCAAATCAGACTCAGATCAGGTTCTCTGGGTTTTTTTTTTTTTCTTCTTTGAGGAATTGTCCCTGGAAAAATTAAATTAAATTGCCAATAGCACTGTAATCAACAGCTTGTGGATCTCCAAGTGCTTTCAAACTACAAATCCCAGAGTTTCACTATTTAGGGCCAAAGATAAAGGAATCTGGGAACTATAGTTTATTACTATTTGGAAGTCCACAGTTTCCCCACCTTTACTGTATTATCTTCTCAAAGTATGCATATGACAATACTAGATATTTGGGGACCCAAGCAATTAGATTATGAAATGAATTACAGAATTATATTCATTAAAATGTTCAGGCTATACACTTCCAACCTACGCAAATTGAACAAAGCAAGTTTTTCCATTTCAAATCAGTACCATTTTTAAAATTTTAAAACACAGTCATAACTCATAGTATATATACTCTATAGGCATAAACAACTTACAAATACCTGCTTTGAAAACAATTAAAAGCCACATAGATATAATAACATTTTTCATTTGCAGGAGAAGAAAAGGTTCATCAGGAAAACAGAATGCAATATGGTATTATTATTAATGTATTTTTGCTTTGGAATTTTGTCATACCGCAAAATAGTTGTAATTATAATTTACCTCCATCATCATCATCATCATCATTAATCATCTGTGTAGGCTGAACAGATTACTTGTTTATGGAATACTAAAAATGTGTTCTGAACTGATTTTTAGGGGTTGAATAAATGGGAACTCTGATTCCTCCTGTCTGTAGCAAATAATGCCAATGACACTTTTAATACTAAAGGAAGGAGGAGGAAGAACACTGTTGAAAGAAAAAATCCAAGCCTATTTCTCCAAAGTGGGCAAATTGTGACTTTATTGTTCCTGTACTGACCTATAACAATAGATGTGCTCTCCTGACGATTTCTAGGCCAGTGTTCCCCAATTTCTAGGCCAGTGCCTGGCTTCACGAACTGACAAGGAGGGGGAGGAGATGGTTCTGTGCAAGGGTAGGTAAGCACACAAGTGGGTAGATCCATTTGTGCAAGTAGCCACATACATCCCTGCTTGCCCAAATGGAGTTTTGCATGCATGCAAGCTGACCCGCTGCTCGTGCAAATGGGGGGTGCGCGCACCCATTTCTGCAGCCCGGTTCCAAACGGCTCATGCCCTGGTAGTGGGACATGGCCCAGGGGTTGTGGATCCGTGATCTAGTCTATTAGAAGTAATCTGTTGAGCTTTTCAACTTCCATTTTTTTTTAAATTATGTATTTATTTTAGTTTTGGATGTGCTTGATAGTCAGGATTTTATATCTCACTCTGAGGGTACCCAATGTTTAGTGACTGCCTACATCTGTTTTGATTCCCACCAGGTTCTTACTCGGTGGAGTTGTTTATTTCTAATGTTCTTAACAATGAGAAGCTAGAATGTTGCAAAGCAAAGTACCTAAAATAACCTAGGGTGGGTTGACAGATACAAAATGTTTGTGTCTATATTAGATGTATATACTGGCTTCCCTCTAGCAGCTCAAAATAGTGGATATTAGCTTTCTTACTTTTTTTTACCTGCAACAACAACCATATGAGGTTGAGTGGCCTGAAAAAGAGCAACTAGCCCTAAATTATCCAGTGAGCTTCCATGACTGCGGGTGGACCTGCCTAGGGAAGGCCCCACACTCTGATTCCTAGAAGCATTTTCTAGAAAACAAAACAATGGGTTCAGCCTGATGCTTGGAAGCATGTGCACCTACATAGAAGGTGCACACAGAAAGCATTTTGGGAAGACTGAGATGATAGAGAAAAATCTTATTAGTTTTCTCCTAGTAAATATTTTTACATTGATTACAGTATATCCATCATAATAACTATTTTTGCAGAGTGCGCATTATGTGCCATGAAGATTCCAGAGCCTTTTCTTTATGTGATAAGTAGACAGATAAGATTTTTGGAATCTGTACACTATTTCCAAATTCTACTTATTAAAGAGAAACAAAAAGAAAAATGTTATTGCTGTTATATCCTGCCCCTACTCTTCCCACAGGCATTACTTGAGATCAGACAGTACAATACGTGCCATATTTGAGAAAATTAAGATAAAAGCTAGGAGGGAACTGATAATCAAAGTGACTCCTACTGAACATAGCATAGCATAGAAACATTCTTCAATACTCAACCCTACCATAGATTGGCATGGTTCCCATTCATGAAGACCACTGTTCTTTGCTAATTAAATTCTTATTGGGGATGCCAGCACCTTAAGATGATTTATTAAGAAGATTAGATATCCATAGACCCACAAAACCTGGCACTGATCCTAAGCAAGATACTTCTTTAGATGTCTCTTAGGTGTGATCATAATGCTTGTGCATTATCATGTATTATTATAATACTTCAATGTGTACAAGCTAAACAATTATTAACATAATTTAACATGGCATGAACAGGCTGCCTTTTATTAATGCTGCCTTATGTGTAGATTGGAAAGATGAAGCCAGGCTTGGGTTCTAAGGAGCTGGGTGAAGATGGCAATAGGCATTATAATTTTTTCTTCGTTGTGAATTTCCACAGTATATTGATTAAAATCAGGAATTTTCAGATTGCTGGATTCAAAGGACAATTCAGTATTGCTGCATGGGTAAGCACCCTGATTTTTGTTTCAGGGTTGAGTTGTAGATTTGCTTTTATATTTGATATAAAAATGTCATTTAGAAGAGGATTGAAGGCAAACATATGTGCTATTATGAGTAATGAAGAAACTATTTACTTATGAGAAGGCATTTCTTGGCCATAAATATACCAGCCACTTTGATGTTCCAGCGCATTAATGTAAAATATACTACTTACATAAAAACTGAGGCCATCAGTGGTGGGATTCAAAAAATTTTACTACCGGTTCTGTGGGCATGGCTTGGTGGGCATGGCAGGGGAAGGATACTGCAAAATCTCCATTCTTTCCCCACTCCTGGGGGAAGGTTACTGCAAAATCCCATTCCTTCCCCACCCCACTAACCTGCTTTCCAGCTCTATTCTCCTGTGCAGGGCAACAAAAGACCAGCTGATCAGCTGGGACTTGGGTGGTAGAGAATAGATGGGGGCAGGGCCAGTCAGAAGTGGTATTTGCTGGTTCTCCAGAACTGGTCAGAACCTGCTGAATACCACCTCTGGAGACTGAGTAACTGTAGAAAGAAACTATGGCTGCAGAGACAAAGTTCTATTAAATAAGACATTTGTGAGAGTAGTTTGATTTTTTTGGATTAATTTTGTTGGGTAGAATCCAGTGAATCTCTTCTGTCAGCAAAAGTAGGCAATTTCACCTTTCTCTGAAGCCCTTCCTATTCTTCTTGGAGGAATCAGGGAATGAATATTTCTGCACAGATGTTGTGGGGGGAAGGCTTATGAGGTGGTGCATCTAATGGAAATTAATGCATTATCTTTATTTTCATAGAGCTCCATTTCATAAAATGATCCACCTTAGAGACCAAGAGAATACAAATGTGTGTGCGTGCTCTCTTTCTTTCTAATCATATAAGGCCCTTATGCAAATGCAGTGTAACTGACACAATTAAGAGCACTGCACAGCATCAAATACAGCTTAAGAAACACTATTATGATTATCACACAATAAAGTCTTATGGACCCTTGTCATATTCCCACACAACATTTTGTTTTAAAGCTTCTGATGATGACTTGAAGACATTGTAATCATAACAAATGCAGCCTCTTCACAGCAGTTGCAGTCGGTCTCCCTTAAACCTGCCCTATACAGCTACTCCAGATGGTACCTAACATAAATGAGGTGCACACATGTAAATCACTTGTAGCCAATATTTCTTTTATGGCTCAAGTATGATTTATTGCACCTTTTGCGTTTGTAATTAAGAGGCAGAACAGATGGTGAATCCTTAATTTAAAATGCTTTACTTATGAAAATAATCTTTGTCTCCGCATAATTATTGATGTGACCTGGGGAGTTCCTCAATATTTTCCTCCTTGATTCTAAAATCTTTCATTCTGTCTTTCTATGTTTTCTTTTACACTCTCAATTGTTCTTAATGTCCCTGTAGATTGCTTGAAGCCCTTGCCAAATAAAACCTTGGACAACTGATGTGATCTGCTACTGTTGGCTGAAGCAATAACATGACAAGCACGACTTTTAAAAGCTACCTTTATTATTTATTAACTGTATTCTGCCTTTTTCCAGGCATGCCAAGCAATGCATAGAGCACTCCAAACTCATGCTTTTCCCTAGAAACTACCCCCTCCCAATTTTTTAAAAAAGTAAGTCGGACTGAAAGCAAGAGACTGCCCTCATATCAA